TTGACGACTATGTGTCGGCAGACATCCATCTGGACAAAAATGCAGAAGATACTATCCCTGACAGAATCGAGGAATACGAAGAACTGCTGCTAAGCAGTACCCTGAGTAAAAACTCAGAGAGAAAGAGACTTGCAGCAATAGGCATGAGAAATACCCTAGAGGAAGCTCTAGGGGGGGAGCAATAACCTAGAGGAAACTCTAGGGGGGAGTGCCCAAAATCTGGAAGAAATCATAATTCCAGAAGAGAACCTTCGAAAACAATTCAAAGAGAAAGACCTCATTGAGGCAATAAAATCTGGATACTTGCAAAGCCAGATCCACTGGGAAATCCTAGAGAACCCGGGGAATTTCAAAAACTTCTCTGTAACAGATGGGCTGATAACCCGACTTGGAGAAGGAGGAATGACCCAAATAGTAGTCCCGAAAGGGAACTACGAAAGGAAGTCCATTCGAGGAATAATCCTCGAAAACATCCACGAAACACTTGGACACTTAGGATCCAAGAAAACAGTGGAAACCCTCCATTGACACTTCTGGTGGAAGTCGATGAGGAAGGATACCCACAAGTTCTGCAGGTCTTGCAGAACTTGTCAAACAACAAAGACAAGCACCAGGAGAAATCCCGGACTGCTTCACCCACTCCCGACACTGGAGACACCATGGTCATCAATAGCTATGGACTTCACAGGTCCATTCCCAACAAGCTTGGGATAGGATTACCTCTGGGTAATCATTTGTAGGTTGACGTCCAATGTCCACCTAATTCCAATAAAAACAACAACGAACGCACTAGAACTAGCATTCGTATTTCTTCGTGAAGTTGTAAGACTCCACAGTCTACCACGCTCGATCATATCAGATCGAGACTCGAAATTCACGTCAAAATTTTGGCACGAACTACACCAAATACTCGGTGTGCAGTTGAAATTCACAACAGCATTCCACCTGCAAGGTGATGGCCAAGTGGAAAGAATGATACAAAAAGTAGTACAAATACTACGCATGATGGTTAGACCAGATCAACGCGACTGGGCAGCGAAACTGTTGATGGCGGAATTCACGATCAATGCAAGCTCAAACACATCGACAGGATTTGCCCTGTTCGAATTAATCTACGGCCATATGCCAAAGATGTGCCTAACAGCACCACTCCTGGACTACCTGGGAGTAAACGACTTCGCCCCAAAGGCAAAGGAAAACCTCATGGCAGCACATGACGCGATAATACACAATCGCACCGCTCAAACAATCCAGGTGAATAAGAAAAGACGCCCGGACCTGCTGTTGAGAAAAGGCAAGCTTGCATACTTATCCACGGATAAGCTGAAGCTACCCAAAGGAAGGGCAGGAAAACTAAAGCCCTTATACATAGGGCCTTATGAAATTCTGGAAACATTTCCAGAGACATCAAACTACGTCCTCAAGTTGCCACCACAACTTGAACAACGCGGAATCCACCCAAGATTCCACGTATCCTGGCTCATACCTCATGAGCCGAATGACCAAGAAATCTTCCCAAATAGGGAAGTAAACATATTCTACGATTTTGGGGAAGACCCCGATCGCAAAGCAGTAGTTTGCGAAATCTTAAACCACATGTGGGTTCACAACGAACTCTGGTTTAAGGTCAAATGGGAACTAGGGGACCCCACATGGGAACCCCTAGGAAATTGCAATGACCTCATCCACTTGGACGAGTACCTCACATTACAAAATGTAAGGGAACCAGAAAAACTCCCTATCAAAGAAGACAGGGAACTCTCGGCATCACTACGCCCCCAAAAACAGAGGCAGAGGAAGTAAAGCTGAGGGACAATGGCCCACAGCCAAGAGTGTGGGAAAGTTCTGGGCAAGTAACTCGCCTGGACAGCCACACCATGTACTAGAGATCACATGGGCCAGGCGAGTAAACCCCACAGGCTCACATGTAAAAGCACACACAACTGCGGCGAATCCCACTGTCACGGCCGTGCATTCCGGCCCATTCCCTGCCCATCCCGATGCCGCCCGAGCCCATTCCCGCTATGCGAGCGTGAGCGTGAGCATGAGCCCAACCTCAGCCCTATCCTCCCTGAGGACTCCCTGCTCACTCCCCTGCTTGCCCCTAGGCTCCCCTGCACCTGGCCAACTCCCCCACAGCCACACCAACCTTCCTGCCCTGAGTCTGCCTCTGGCACTGTGCCCAGCGCGACTCCTCTACCCTGCCCACTTGGCCCCTACAGGGCCGCTACCATTCCCGCGCCTGACTCCGGCCCAACTCCGAGTCCAGCTACGATACCATCGCTGCTATCGTGGCCCTACACTCCTCCTTTATTTATCTGTTATTGTTTGTTTTGACCCTCAGTCATTGCTGGCCGCTGTGCGGCCAACCCCGCTCCTTGTTCCCGGTTGCTTCCGGACCCTTCGGCCTTCGGCCCGGGTCCGCTTCAATTCATTCTGCCTTCATATATATATCCTGTATACTACATTATAGTACTTTAGCTCTAATATTGATTTGACCACGACCCCTAAGTCCTGACCCCAGCAAGGCAACCCCAGTAAGCCTGAAATGAGGGCCAAGAGACAGCTAGGGGGCACAGTGCTCCTTTAGAGTCGCTGAGGCCAAATGCCCTACCCTCAGGCCTTGTTCGCAGCATCATGGCCATCACAGCCTATAGCAGCCTGCAATGGCGACCTTCGGTGCCGACCCTGGACCAGTGTCTAACACCCATGCATGCAAGAACAAAAACCCCTCCCACCACCACGAGAAACATAACGATGAAATGTCGTTCTCTGGGGGAGGCAACCCTCAGTTCGATCCAAACAAGCCACCGGACATCGAAATATGACAACCTGGGGAGCAAGGCTCCCCGGAACAACAACAACACCAGGTGCAGATCAGCGCCATGGACTACATGATGCACGCAGCACAAATGAGTGCCACGAACCAACAACCATCCATGTTGCTAACAGGAACCGCATACCCCCAGCCTCCTCAGAGGGGCTTCCAACCATATGCGGTGCAAACTACACTGATGGTGCAACAAGTGCCATTCCAGGGGCAGCATTTGCTGCTGCAGCCCCAGGTATACTCCCCAGGGAACTTCCCTGGCCAGATCAACCCCTGGATTGGCCAATTCAGCCCAGGTCCAACAACACCCCAGCCAAATGCAGGCTGGGAATCAGCCATCGCATCAGCAGTAGCTGCTCAGACAGGTCAGCTCCGTGAGGAGCTGAAAGAGATGAAGTCCCTCATAGGAGGGAGATGAGGGAGCGACAGCGGCTCCTCGTCCAGACCATCCAAACGGGCATGGTCTGATAACTCGAGGGTGTCAGAAGACGCCTGCGACCATTGTGCCCACTGGAGGTGCGAATACAACAGAGCATGAAGAGATGCCGAGGGCATCTTCGACTCTCTGAAAGACACAGAGAGAGAGGTTGATCTCCAAAAAAGGGAGATCGAATTACTGAAATGCGAGCTCAGAGAGGCACGTGCACTGGCAGACCTCACTGCCAAACCCATTATGATGGGGGCCTCCCAGGTCAGGGGGAGGGGATACGGTTCCGGGCCTCATGAGGCGCGACCCCACATGGGGACCAGCACACCAAGGGGTGGGGCACCAACTATCCCACCACCCCGTGGGCAGGCGACCCTGTCTGGGTTGCATAAGGGTCGTATGGGCTTCCATGATTTATTTCAGATTTTTCCCTCATGATCCAAGGTTGTTTTGTACTTTCCATGCTTTGTTTTGACCGGGGTCTTCCTTATTTGGACAGAAATTGGTCTTCGCAATCTGCCGAAGTGCGGATCTCAGTTCCGACAGCCAGTTCCCTTCGCATTGCCACCCTCATGTGTCTTTAAACATGATGCGGATTTCTATATTCCCATCGTTGGTATAACTTCACAACGGCTGGACCGTTTGGGCTGAAACTTTGCATAACTATAGTTTCCTATTTATCAAAATTTCCGTGTAAATTCCGTAGTGTGTTTTAAATATGGATCCTATGTAAACGTCGTCTTTTCCCTGAGCCCAGACTTTTGATGTCGCTCTTCCCATTATTGGATATCTCATTGATGTGTGATCCTTTTATTATGAAAATTTGGGTGGATTAAGATTAGATCTCTTCCTTTCTAATGAGCTGTCAAGCTCGTCTCGGTCGTTACTGCTTGTTCTTCGCACTTGCCTTTTAAACGTTGTCCTCGTTTTTCGAGAGTTTTAGTCATATCTCCATCGTTTATGGGTAGTTTCCCTGTAATTACTTTCATTGGGTCTGTTTGAGAGACATATACATTTCCTATTATAAACACGACTTTGAATTTTGCATTAGTTCCTAAGGAATCCTTATTCCATGGTACTTCCATCCTTGGCTACGTGTGCAGACATGGGAAAGTAGTTTCTGTGGAGGTTCTCTGGTTGTTTTTATAGTCAAATCTTGGTCGATTGTCCTAATTCTTTGTTTAATATTTGCTATAAATTCCCCCGAGAATTCCTTTTTGATGATGCTAAGCTTGAAGTATTTTTTCTAATTTTCTTTCTTCCAATTTATCATGTGTAGTCGTAATAATTCATTAAAATTCATTAAAATTCAGGTCCTTCTATTTTCTCATATCTCCTTGTCCTATGGGGTTTTGTGATTTATCTGGCATATTTCCATAATGGGTTTCCATAGTGTGACCGTTATTTCTCCTACAGCATGCAAGTCCTTGCATCCCAATGCATTAAGGGCCGACCTGAATGGGATGAATTCAAGCAAGAAATCTTGCAGAAGCTAGAGCCATGCCGGTGTACACCACAGACTCAGCAACCATGCTGCTCATTGTCCATGATGACCCACATCAGCCCCAACACCTCTTGTACTGCCAACCCCTTTGTCAACAGTCATTCTGAGGCCAAAATTGAATCACCACCTGGTGCCCAGACTCACTTAAGCACCTCCATTGCTGCCTGGCAGTCTGCAGTTCAGCACAGTTTGTTGTGTAAGTTGAAAAAGCTGATTCCACCCGAATACCGGCTTACAGGCTAGTAATAGATCAGCCACAGGTAGGACTGAGGATCATTGCTTCTTCTACTTCCCAATGCCCTGGGATTGTCAAGGCACCGTTGGCAACTGAATTCTAGGTCCCACATTTGCCTGCCACCAACAGAGGAATAGTGCAGCTCCCTCATATTGCACCCAGCAGTGAAAGTGCCAGCACCAGCAGAAGAAGGACCAAGGGTAGCAATGGTGTTAAGTTGAGCCCCAGGGCCGGTAAACTGGCCATGAGTGCTGGAAGCTGGACAAGCATTCATCGCTTGACCCAAGCCAACAATGAGACAATGACGCTTGAACAGTTGCATCAAGAACTAGCAGATACCTCACTTACTTCACTTGGAGCACCGGTTTTCGTGAACAAACCATCTGGTAGGCCAACAGTATCATCAACACACTCCATCTCCCAGGTAGCTCTGTATCCTTCGTCATCAGGCCAGCTTGCTGGGTCATATAGCTGCCACCAAACCGATGGCCCCCCAAGTGTAGTAGCCTCCAGTTCAACCAGCTCCAACCTATTGATGCTCTTGCAATCCATCAGCAACAAAAGCTCCACCCAATTTAGTGAAGCTGATATCAACACCATCAGCGCCCTCTGCCTCAATGAGAAGATTGCTGTGGAGGATCTTGCTCAAGTCCTCAGGTCCATTTCTCAATCAGTAAGGATTCATCTGTTGCCTCATTCAGATGCACGAGGCTTGGTTAGAAAATCGCGATTAAGATTGTTTTTGTACAAAATATCTGCGAATTCCATCTACTGCTTAAATCAGTGGGGCCACAGGCTTGTAAAATTTTGACTAACCACATGTTCAACATGTACCCAAATGCACACTCTCATGTTGTATTGGCCATCCGAATTTGGAGAGTTTGGCATTGTAAATGCCACACCAGCTGCAGGCAATGGCACCCCAGAGAAACCAAATGGCAAGGCAGCAAAAGAGGCGTTCAATCGCCATGTTCAGGAATTGAAGGAGAAGTTTGAGCAGGATGTGAATGCGATAGCAAATGAGTTTTCAGGACAAGGTGTGCACCGCTCAGCTAAACAGGTTCGAGATCAGATCCTCTTTACAATGGGAGAGAATAAGAAGACTAGGAGCCCACATGTTAGCAACGCATGGGCTCATGCTATTGAAGAAGCAGGTCGCCTGGACAGTAAGTCAAGACCACTGCATGTCAATCACAATCTGTCGTTGATTCATCTTAGCGGAATCACTCTCGAAAATGTCATATGACACTGCTTACCTGAGTTTATTGGACGATATCAAAATGGGCATTGTTACTCAGGAAGATGTAAGCAACCCCCAGACACCTGAGGATGAATGCCACTGGAGGGTACTGCTGGATGGAGTCCTCACTAGTCACAAACATTGTGGTACCAAGAAGCACATAGCATCACCTGAGCTCAGTGCCCACTGGTTGGCATACCATGCACAGAACCAGATTGAAGAAATTGTGAGTGATATTACTAATATCCAGCACTGATACTTACAGGTGGACCAGGCCACCCACATCAACAAGACGTGTGGTATTGAGTCCCTCTGTCAGAGACCAGATTCGAGACGAGTGAGTGTCTCCGTAGCGGAGGGCTTTGGCCTCAGCGACTTCTGCCAAGAGTGCTGTGCCTAGTGACACATCCGTGCCCTAACTTACTGACTGGCAATCAGAACTGAAGGGGGTAACTCTAGTTGATTTTATTACTGGGGTGTAACCTATGTACAAGTGGGATATATATATGGTTACAGCGAAGACGGGTCCGCAATTGGTGGAGCTGAACAGAGCGGAGCTAACGGGGTTTAAACATTGGCCGACTGAATATTACCGACGAGTCAGGTTGCGGGGTTAGCGGAAAGGCAGGCGATAACCCAGAAACAGAAAGGAGGGATAGGCCCGAAGGTGGGCTCTGCAGGGCAGGCGAGTGTATTGCCCAGCAGAGGCGGGGGTGCGCTAGCGGACGTCGGAGCTGTCCGGAAGTCTTCGGGGCTCCGTACTTAGGGAGGCATAGGTAATAAATTGAAATGGGGGGGTGGTGACCATCGAGGGGTACCGAGAGGATTGCGGAATGCGGGAGCTCCGAGGTTAGTGAGGGAGGAGTGGAGCTAGACCGGAGGGATCGGAGGGACCGGAAGTCGATGGCCAGGGATGGATATGACACCCTCATTGTCTAAAAAGCCGCATTGGGGATGTCTTCACCCCATATGTGTGGGCAACTGAGCCTGCCAAAGAGTTCTGGGTGGTTACTCTGAAGCAGGACATGATGGTTTGCACACAAGAGATGGAAGGGTTTGCAATATCAGGTGTCACAGGTAGGCAATAACTCTTACTCACCCAGTTCAGAAATGACCTCAAACAGCTGGATGGTAGGTGTGGTGAAAGTCACCAAGGACAATACAGTGCACTTGTGGTCCAAACTTACCACCCTGATTAGAGAGGGTCTTTGTGAGTACTAATCTGCATGGCTGAACTCAAAAAACTTACAACATTAACAGGTGAGGCAATGGGGGACCCAAATGCTGTGATGAAATGGGAACAAGAAGGCTATCTTGGCTTCATAAGCTCATGATTAACAAGTCTGCTCACCTGCCTGACAAAATTGTGAACCCAAAGTGGCTACAAAAGGAAGATGCATGGGTCCATCAAGTGGATTGTGGCGCCAGATGATGACATCCAGCACGCTGTGGATGAATTATGTCAGATTTCGAGGGATAAAGCTGAGCAGTATCTCCATAAGTATGTTCATTTCATTGCGCCTCCAGTGCAGCGGTTCATTGCTTGTACAGTCAAGCAAACCAGAACGATGCCGATACTGCTTCTCCATCAGACATGTAGGTAGTCAGGCACTTGTAGCACACTTACCTGATGTGAACTGTTCTAAGCGCAAATCATGGTCAACACAGCGGCCATTAGCCCCTCTACCGCCGCTTCAAGCTCAGGAAGGGCACCTGGCGCTAAGAGAGGGTAAGGGATTCGATTCTGTCTCAAAAATGACATGCTCAGTTTCTGTGCACTTCATGATTGCAACAGATGTAAGTGCAAAACTCCACACCTTGAGCATTCTCCCTTGGCTAGTGATCAAGCAGATCCTTCTATGTAATGGGATCTTGATGATAACATGCCCCTGTATGCATGTAGATAGTCCTTGGGCATCAACATGCCTTTGTTGTGTTGGAGGAACCGTGTGCTATGGGAGGCCGGACGAGTTTTCGTACAGCCACATTCCCACATCCGAGCGAGGAACTCGCCCAGACAGCCACATTCCTGCAGTAGCGTGACTACTTGGTCACAACACCTTTTCTTCTTACTTATTTTGGTCACTTCGGACTTATCCGCAAAGTCCACAAACTATATTCATTCATTTGGATTAGTTTCCTTTTTCCCTCAGTTCTCGTGCATTAGCTTGAGACTGAGGTTAGTTACAACATTCTTTTACTCTTATTCCTTATACATTGTAACTCATTGTATATTACCTTATAGCTTTAGCATTAGGTAATATTACAGTTCTCGTGCATATAGTGAGACTGAGCTTTACTACTAGAGCAAGCGGTTATTCCGTTATGTTGCAGTGATATGTGGCACTTCAAAGTACATAATGTTGCAAGGGGAAAAAAAAAAAAAAAACAAGACAGGCTTGATGTTGGCAGCCATTGAGGTTGCACACACGGCTGTTGAGGTTGCATGCACAGATGCAATGGTGCAATAGTGAGATGCAAGTGTGGGGTGTTCGTGGTGCAGGCCTGTCAGGGACCGGTCCGGGGTCGAGAGTGTCTGGGTATATCGCCCAGTGCTGAGGGCCCGGTGGGGTATGAAGCCAGCATGTATGGCAACGGGTCCAGCACAGGCAAATGTCCCTGAAGTGGGAATGGTGAGAAGAAGACTGCTTCTCTGGTTCCCACCCCAGGTATGTTTATATACATGGCACTTGGGTCACATGGGAGGTGCCATGTCATTCCCATGCACAGCCCCAGCCACCCGGGTATCCCCGTGGGGGATCCCAAAGGGATCTGCTGCAGGCATGCATGCTGGGTGCACCTGGGGGTCGTCCGGAGCATCCGGGGCTGGGTGCATCGTGTGTGGGTCGTGGGCGGGTCAATAGTACATTGATCAAAGGAAAGTCATCCATGTAAATAGAAATAGGAAGAATAGAGAATGATACAGAGGGGGAATAGAAAGAGGGGAAAGTGGAGGGAGGAGGAAATAGGAAGGGGGAGAAGGGGGTAGTGGGTGGAGTGGAGCCGGGTGGAGCCGGGTGAGGCAGGTGTGCCCTGACAAAGCCAGGGAATTGGATGAATTGGGGAATCAATTCATTCACTCTCAGGATTCCGAGAGCATGGGGAGCATGCTCTTGAAACATGATTTTGTATCTAAGAAGGTATCATGACCCCCCTTGCTACGACACCTAGTTATATTGATCCCATGATGAGTAATAGGTGACAACCATTGCCAGCCGCTATGTGGCCAACTCCACTGTTTACTTCCACTTGCTTCCAGACCCTTTGGCCTTTGACCTGGGCCCACTTCTATTCATTCTTTCTTCCATATATCCTATATGATTGTCAGGGCCCAGTCCTCATTCCAGGACAGCCCTGGGGGAATCCTTCCGGTCACTGGGGTATCTAGTCCCAGTCCTAGGTGTCACAAACATTCCTGGGATAGGTCCGATCGCTACCCAGGCAGCGCTGTCTGGTGGAGCTCAGTATTCCGGGTCGTCTGATGGTGGGTCAGAGACACACTGGAGGTGGGGTGGAGCTCTGAGGGTGATGGGGTGTTGAAGGGACTCGGCTTCAGCAACTCGGAAGGAAGCGCTGCACCCATTACGTTCTCATTGTCCCCAATTTGTCAGGGGAGCTGGCAACAGAGGAACCGAGGCTGCCAGCAGAAGGGGGCCAGAAGCCCCCCCTCACTACTTAATGATGGAGGTGTTAGCAAGGGTCAATTGTTTGTCATGTGATTTGTTTGGGTTTTACACCAAGGTACCTTTAGACGTGCCTGTTACTCAGCTCTTGGTTCAGGGTAGAGCAGCAGATGAGTGGGATGTGATAGATGTCCTGGAGAAGGTTTGGATTCGAGGACTTGACACTTATATTATAACTGGGGGAACTATTTACTGGAGGGGTATGTGCATACATATAGCAGAAACAATTGGATCTGAAGGTAAACAAAGGGAAGGGGAAGTAAATAGAAAAGAATCCACAGGACAAATAAGGAATAGGTGAAAAGCCTGAATTACATCTGAGATTTGTGGGGTGGGAGGATCAAAAGCCAATTGAATGGCAAGGCCTGCACCTGTCTAAGAATAAGCAGGGGACTACAGAGGAAGACGTCTGGAAAGGTCCGGAGCCCAGAAGTTGTAGTCCGGAAGATTGGGGTTGTAGAAAATATCAAATCAAGACCAGAGGTTAGGTAGGAATGGGGAGGTACCGGAGGTGCAGAGACCGGAAGTAAGAAGGAGGCTAGATAGATGTAAGGAATGGTGGTGGTTTATATTATTCCTTCTTTATTCATTGTTGTACCTCCTGTATTTACTTATGTATTGTCTGGAGTTGAGTGAAGGGGACTTCACTCTTCCCCTCATCATGTCGAAATACTAAGTTCTGTACAACCTATATTTCGATTGTCTTGAGAACTGAAGAGGCACCAAGGTCGGCACCTTGTCAGGGCACGCCCCACCCAACCCTCGCTCCGCTCCCCCGCTCCGCACCGCTTCTCCCTCTTCCTTTCTCCTTTCCCCCTTCTTCCTTTCTTTCTTTCTTTCCTTCCCACATGGACCACCTTTCCCGCTGCTCAATGTATCACCGGCACGCATCCCCATTTCCCCTCCTGTATCTCACCGTTCCTATATCGCTGCCATTGCCGCCGCACTTACCCCACACCCACAGCGGGCCCTCTCAGGATCTCCCGCAGAGGCACCCGGAGAGCCGTGGCTGTGTGCGAGGGTGATGTGGCGTGCCCCACGTGACCGATCCCGCATGTATATAATAACAGCTGGAGTGGGAACCGAAGAAGTAGCCTTCTTCTCACATTCCCACTTCAGACTAAGTGGTCGGGGACGCTCACCCCACGACGAGATCGCCGCTACGCACAGCCGCTACTTGTCCCACTGAGTCCCGCATGCCAGGACCTCGCCGCTTTCGGAGCTGTCCCTGACACACCTACACTGACCTTACAATAGGCAAGTTGAGGTTTACCAACAATGAGCAGGTCCATCTCCTTTGAACAAGAGGTCTGAGGAGGTGGAGGTATGGTAGTGGAGGTCCAGAGGTGATGCAGATGTAGATGGGAGGCAGAGTGGGAGAGAGTCGAAGGAGGAGGTAGTCCTAGGGCTGTTGGCATCGACTGGAGGCAGCAGAGAGAGATTGGGAGGGCCGGTGGAGGTCATATGAGTCATATAGGAATAGGGTGGAGGGGGAAGATCTGGGATATGACACTAGTGTCATATCCATCCACAGCCACCATCTTCCACTACCGCCGATCCTTCCGGACTACCT